AAAAAAAAAAAAAAACAGATGGTGTTTCAAGGGTCAGCTAGAACGCTAAAGCACTAACAGGTAGTAACCGGAGTAACTGGACATGGCAAGTACCAAGCAAGGCATAACCACTAAAATTAAATATACTTTCACATTACAATGATTTCTTAAACTAGCAAACGTCCGGGTATTTTGATGAGGAAAAAAAATTACAACTTCCACGAATACCTTGTACTGTCAGAGCATCCACAATTACTTTATTAGCATAGTGGAATGTAAAGGGGGAAAGCGGGGAAAGGCCAGAGTGCGCAGGTTTCTACGTGGCTATCCATAATCCCAGCAAGTGCCACTGTGGGGCGACACTGAGACCCCCTGGCCAGCTGGCCAGCTACACTCGCTTGTCTCAGGAAGTAAAGAGAAATCAAAGAAGACACACTAGATGTCAACCTGGGGACTGCACATGTGGCTGATGCTGCAGCACATAGGCCACACACACGCACACTTAAACATACACACATGCACACACCACAGAACAGGCAAAGGTGCATCAACATAATCTAACCCATAACAAAGATGACTCACATAACATGACATACTTAAATAATTAAACTACTTTAGGGCTACTTATTTAATAATTCTCCTTACAGAGGAAGAAATAAGGAAACAACAGAAATAAAGTTAAAAATAGAAGGGTCTGAATTAAAAACTAAGAACTTGTGTGTAAACTATATAATGAAAATATTTTTAAAATGTGACGTTAGGATCAAACCTAAGTTGTACAGGTTGGACATATTCCTTGCGAAATCTTTTCAGGTCCGCGCTGATTGGCTGCTCGCCTTTCTCCTGCGCCAATCTGTCTGCCTCAGTGGGTTCTGGTTCTGGAATTTCAAACCTAAGAATAAAATCAAGAGAAAAGAAATGTGTTCACACATAAATGAAAGAAACTCTGACTGCAATAGAAAAAATGTTTGACTCAGAAATCCTTTTCTATCATTACTCAGAAAGCAAAATTACCTCCTTAAGAAGGTGTGCACATAAGAAAACAGTCTTTGGCTATTTGGTACCAAGGTTTTGTATTATTTTCCTTTAAGAATTGATTTTTATTATTGTTGTTGTTATTTGTCCCTACAAGTGTATGTGTGCGAATGTAAATGTGTATGTGTGTGAGTGTGTGTGTGCGCGCGCACACTCGTGTCTCCCATGGAGGCCAGAGGCATTGAAGTTGGAGTTAAAAGCAATATGGGTACTGGGAACCACACTTGGGTGTTCTGGAAGAGCAGTTACATGTTCCTAACCCTGAGCAACCTTTCTAGTCCCTGTATTCTTATTTTTAGGTTTTTTTTTTCCTTTATTAATTACACTTTACTCACTTTGTAACCCCCCCCATGGTTCCCTCTCTCCTCCCATCCCAATCTCTCCCTTCCTCCACCCTCTGCCTGCATGCCCCTCCCCAAGTCCACTGATAGGGGAGGACTTCTTTTCCTTCCTTCTGATCCTAGTCAATTAGGTCTCATCAGGAGTGGCTGCCTTGTATTCTTCTGTGGCCTGGTAATGCTGCTTCCCCCTCAGGGGGAGGTAATTAAAGAGCAGGCCAATCAGTTCATGTCAGAGACAGTCCCTGTTCCTATTACAATGGAACCCACTTGGATACTGAACTGCCATGGGCTACATCTGTGCAGGGGTCTTAGGTTATCTCCATGTATAGTCCCTTGGTTGGAATAGCAGTCTCAAGAAAGACTCCTGTGCTCAGATTTTTTTGGTTCTGTTGCTCTCCTTATGGAGCTCCTGTCCTCTCCAGATCTTACTGTTTCCTACTTCTTTCCTAAGATTCCCTGTGCTCTGCCCAAAGGTTGCCCATAAGTCTCAGCATCTGCATTGATAGTCTGCAGGGCAGAGCTTTTCAGAGGTCCTCTGTGTCAGGCTCCTGACTTGTTCCCTCTTCTCTCCTTCTTCTGATGCCCATCCTCTTTGCCTTTCTGGATAGGAATTGAGCATTTTAGCAAGAGTCCTCCCTCTTGATTAATTTCTTTAGGTGTACATATTTTAGTAGGTTTATCCATTAAAAAATTTTATAGGTAGTACTGATCAGCACAGAAAATGTCCACATTTTATATTTTAAGTTATAAAGCATTTAAAACGTTACTTAATATACAGTAAAAACTTCAGTTCATATTTTAATATTTAAAAATTGTAATACAGAAAATGTTAATTTTTTGGCTCAATAATACATTATTTTAAAAAATAAGAAACACTATCTTTAGAGTAGTGGTTCTCAACTTGTGGGTCACAACCCCTTTGGCCAACCTCTGTCTCCAAAAATATTTACATTATGATTCATAACAGTAGCAAAATCACAGTTATGAAGCAGCAGCAATGAAGAGCACTTAATGTTTGGGATCATAACATGAGGAACTGTATTAAAGCGTTGCAGCATTAGGAAGGTTGAGAACCACTGTTTTAGAGATACATACAGAAATATTTAGATAAAATCCATGGACTAGAATCTACTTCAAAAATCTGTAGGAGCCATGAGATGAGTCAATGATTACTGATGCTGGATGATGGATAAAAAGGCTTAGGATAATAATAGTCTACTATCCTTGTATATATTTTGAAATTTATCATGACAAGTTTATTATGAAAGTAAAAGGTAACGAAGAATCTTTAAAGAAAAAAAAACTCTACTAAAATACGTAGTTTTTATCCTTTAAGCTTGTTTTTTGTTTCCCACTTGAAACCCTACTGCATACTAAAAAGCTCTCAGCAGCGAGGCTGTGTAAGCTCGTTGAAAAGAACAGTCATATTGCTGATGTACTCAAGTAATTCAAGAAATAACGAGTATTACTAGCACCTTTGCAAAGTACAAAATGTTAACATAAGTGAAATATGTCTTTACCGTTCTATCAGCAAGCTGAGCAATTCCTGTGGTTTACAAAATGAGCGATATGTAGTAAGAAATGTACGAACAAAATTGGGATCTGAAAAAGAAGAGATTACATGTTTAATTTACCCACTTTAAGTAACTCAAAGCACCACGTTTTCCTTTCTCTGCTGTTTTGACTTTGACTCCTCTGGATGTAGCTTTTTCCTGTCAGATGTAGTATTTCTCCCTCTCTCTTCCTTTTTTCTCACCTCACCCTGATACTGCCAAGGCCTCATGTAGCCAGGAAGGCTTCAAAAATCACTATGTAGCCGAGGATAAATTTCAACTCCTTATCTTCCTGTCTTCACTCAACTCTTCAAATGATTGGCCTAACCCATTTCTTGATAAATGAGAACAAGGATTATTCAAATAAGAATCATTTTCAAATTTAATTTTACAAATAAATACTTGATGAGCATTTACTGTCGCTGGAATTAGTGACGTGTTTATAACATGTTTATAACTCTGGTGTTTCCAGCATCAGGCCCCGACTCTTGGCAGCGCTTGCCAGCGTCACGCACCTGCGTACATGTGGTACGTTAGCCTCTCGATCAGTTTCACCACTGTCCCTCCTTTAATGATGGGGATTCCACTTCTGCTTGGCAAGCTGTCTTCAAACACAATGTTTTCCTCAGAGTCTTTCACCACAAAGCGATACACGTCTGGACTTGGTAGTCTCAGTGGCTGCTCATTTTCCTCTTTCAACAGTACAGAATCCAGCATTCTATCTAGGGTACTTCGATAGTGAAGGGAGATAAGGGCTGCCATCCAGTTATTTTTCTCTTCAGCTGACTTAGCAGCAAATATTACACTGTTTTCATCTTTGGATACCAATTCAAAAGCATGTTTGTATTCACAAGTGTCTTCTTTATCACAGATTTGAATTTTCCTCATGACAAACTTTTCTTTTAATCTGTATTCTGCACTACTATAACCTGGAAGTCGGGTCTGGCCATGATTAGTTTTACAGCTGATCATTAATCCGTCAAAAAGAAAAATATGCCTTTCATGTTTAGCACCAATTCTGGTCAATGGTCCTTCCATTATGAACTCGTTACAACACTGTCCAATATCTTTTCCTTCCCACCCATCTATGTTTTTCTGAATTTCATTCATTTTTTTGATAGCCAGATGCTTGCTTCTTAGTTGACGATTGTAAAAGAGGCAAACAGGATCCCTAAAAAAAAAAAAAAAAGGCCTGGTAAATTTGGCTTATTCAATAGTGATGACTATGCAATCCCAAATCAAATAACAAAAGTATTAAATTGTGTTGAGAGGTATAATGACTGAGTATATGCTTAGCATGTAAAAAAGCCCTGGGGTTGAATACCCAGCATTCAAAAGCTTAAATAACCAGAGATTAAATTATATCACTAACAATTATTTTCTTCTAGTCCTGCCCCTGAATACCAACTGACTCAATTTTACTATTGTCAAAGTTGAATATACAGCTGAATATTTCATTCCTAGAGCCATAAGAACTAAAATTACAGATAAATTCCACAATCCTTGCAGAAAAAAATATAAAATTTCACAAAATATATATGTATATTTAAATTTATTAAATATATCCTAACAATGTAACAATATAATTTTTTTACTGAAACAGACCAAAAAAAGACAAGCATAACTTTCAAGAGTGCAACGTCATTCTGTATCACACTCGGGAAAAGTGGGCATAAACAGTGAAGGAAGCATAAACATTCATATTTGGCACAGTCTAGAATTACCCAGGTCGGCGTCTAGGTGAATGCTGCTTGTAAATGCGGTCCATGCTGCCTTGTAGGTTCATGAGGGCAGTGATAGCTTGATTCAAACACTCTCTGTCTTCCTGCTCTTCACTGCATGCTTTCAACTGCTAAGGGGGAAAAGATAAGATTACATTGCTTGGTTCTATCTTAACGTCTCTGTAGTTAAAAGTGGCAACAGATATTTAAGGCTTCTGTAGATTTAACGCTGCGGTTTGAACATGCAGTACCTTCCATAGGCTCGTGTCTATGGAAGATGGTAGTCCTGTGTGGGGAAGGCTGTGGAGCCAGGAGGACCTGGAGCTTCCCATAAGGGCACACAGTAAGGTTCTGCAGCCTGGCCTGACTTCCTGTCCTCTGCTTCCTGACTGAGGATGCTGCCATGCTTTCCCCACCGTGTGGACTGTGTCCCTTCTTCAACAGTAAACCAAAGTACTCCTTCCTTGCTCATGCTGCTTTTTGTTAGATATCTGGACACAGTAAAAAGACTAGTATAGTTTATAATAAAGACAGCTGTAACTTTATATAATTATATATACTATCTGACCCCTTAAAACCAACCTTCTTTCAACAAATACAATAAAATATAAAGTATTATCAGCATAATAATCAATAAATACAACTGTGAAAATGAGTCATAAACTTTCCATCATACAAAATAATTTAAAGCATGATGCTTAAAAGTTACTTGTAGGGCCAGCAAGATAGCTCAATGGGTAAAGTGCCTGCTACACAACCCTGACATGAGTTCAAGCTGCACAAGAACTAGACCCACAGAGTTTGCCCTCTGCTTCCACAAGTGTCCGCAGATGCCCATATCCCATCACAACTGAAAAACAGCTTTATTTTCCCCTCAAGACAGGGTTTCTCGGTATAGCCTTAGCTGTCCTGGACTCACTTTGTAGATCAGGTTGGCCTCAAACTCACAGAGATCCACCTGCCTCTCTGCTTCCAGAGTGCTGTGATTAAAGGTGTGTATGTATGTACGTATATATGCATATATATATTAGATAGATAGATTTTAATAAAGATGGATGCTGATGACATACACTGTCTATAGGCTTTTTTTTTTTATTGATTAAAACCTCTAATAGCAGCAGCAGTGAAATTCTACCAAAACCAGAACTGCCCTAAATTCAATTATAAAGCTACTAAATTTCCCTTCTCCCTAAGCATTCAAGCAAATTTCTTGACATGTCACCTCCGAACAGTCATACAATAACTATAAGTTTGTCAAAGCAGAAGTCAGGAGAGTTAGAATTCCCCAGTAGTGACAATAGCCAGGCAGTATAATCTTAGTCTAAAACCTCCTCTTTAAAAAAATATTTAAAGTACCTAAAATTGGTGCTGGAGAGATGGTTCAGCCATTGGGAGCACAGGCTGCTCTTAAATAGGACTCAGGTTCAATTCCTACCCCCCACATGGTAGCTCACACCTGTCTTTAACTGTAGTCCCTGGGGATCCAACACCCTCTTCTGGTGTCTGTGGGTACCAGGTACACACAAGATATATATGCAGGCAAAACACCCATACACAAGATATACATGCGGGCAACACACCCATACACAAAAAATAAAATAAAATAAAAAACCCTAAAATTTCTCTCTGCAAAGGCTTGTCATCAACCTCAATGTAGTTTAATATAGGGTAGATAGCAGACTGTAACTTATCATTATGTAGTTGTTTTCCATCTTTGCTTTACCATAAATCTAAATTTGAAAAATAAAAATCAGGTATGTTTGTATTATGGTCACAGTCTTGGAGTATCACCTGTGCAGGTACTTTAAACTAAAACTGTCTTCTCCCAGACTGCTTCCTACACCTAAAGGTATGCAGCACTCATGAGTCAGATGGTCTCCCATGCTCTTAGGATTCTGTGCCACTGAATGCGCAGTGGGGCTTACCCAAGAATAGCGCTAAGCTAAAACAACATCACAAAATGTCACTCACATGCTGATAGAAAATGTTTGAAAATATGATTCTGATAAAAGACTCATGATTTATACAGAATTCTTATCACTAAATTATAAAACCACCTGATTAAAAGATGAACAAAAGATGTAAATACCTTTTTTCCTAAAGAAGATAACAGAAATGGTTCACAAAAATATGGCAAAAAGAAGTCAGTACCATTAATTCTTAGGGAAATCAACAGCAATCAAAAGGTAAGTGGCCTTAGGTGTCTAACAAAAACTGGACTTCAAAGGCTGGGGTATGCCACTTAAAGGAACAGGTCTCTCAAAGCTGTGTTTCTAGGCCTCACTGATCATATACTACACAGTCTCTTCTGTTATTAATAAACTGCAACCTGTCCTTTTCTGGTTGGCACTGTTTTGCTGTTTGAAATCATAGATGACAGATACTTTTTAAAAACTTTTTATTACATTTACTTATTTATTTTGTGTGCACGTATGGGTGTGAGAATGTCACAACACGTGTGGAAAGCAGAGGCACCTGCAGGAGTCGCGTTTCTTCATCCACCATTTGGGTCCTGGAGATCAAACCCAAGTTGTCAGGCTTCATAGCAAGCACTTTTACCCTTTACACGTCTCTCTGCATACATACGCATGCAGTATGTTCTGGAGCAGTGGTTCTCAGCCCTCCTGATACTGCGGCCCTTTAATATAGTTTCTCATGTTGTGGTGACCCCCACTCAAAAATTATTTTTATTGCTACTTCATAAGTATAATTTTGCTACTATTATGAACTGTAATGCAAATATCTGTTTTCCAATGGTCTTAGGTGACCCCTGTGAAAGAGTCATTTGGCCCCCCTAAAGAGGTCACATCCCACAGGTTGAGAACCATAGCTCTAGAGTATTTGCTCATAGGTAAAAGTGTAATAGAGTACATATTTTCCAAATTTAATAACGTCAAACCTTTTCCAAAGCTGGTTGTACAGTTTACACTATTACCAGGACGTATGCTAGTTCAGGTGGCCTTTTCTCCTTGTTCTCAGACTGTTAAATAGGTCGTCTGGTGTACAAGTAATGGTTGTGGTCTTAATTTGCATTTCCTGACTACTAATACTTTTAAATGTGTGATTACTGGCTTTTGAATAACCTTCTTTGGTAGGTCATTCAAACCTTCTGAGGTTTGAAGCATCTTCTTTCTGTGACTAATCTCCATTCCATGTTCCTATTCTTACTGTTGTTGTGTGTTAATTACAGAATCTGAACTTGCAGCTTCATTAATCAGACATAGTGGTTTCTGTCTGTTGGTCATTCCCTGAAGCTTTAAAGCACCTCACCATGAAAGAGCTTCTTTTCTCACGTCTAGTGCCTCAGGTGGTGTCTGCTCCCCTTTAAAGCAGAAGAGAAAGATGGCGCTTTTCTGGTAACCACCCAGTCTCACTCTCTCCCTCAGTCCTACCTAACCCCAGACAGCACATGAGCACTTCTGCCTGTTTCCACCTTGTTCTCCTTTTGTGAATATAATTCCAGTATACCTTGCCCAATAACATTTTCTTTCTCAAATTTTCTTTATTGCTCTTCAAGTGAACCAGCTTTCTACTTGACCATTCTGTACCCACCTTTACGGCCCCAAATTACTAATCTGGTTTGGATTGCCTGCTTAGACTTTGTCCATTGACTCTGCAGCTAATAATCCTGAAATAACAGCTAGACTAATACTACAGCTGCCTTTCAGATACCTAGGCAAAGAATTTACTTGGTGGTTTCTAATGAACATGTATCTCAAGAATACATTTTTATGGTGTCTCATTATGCATTAAGTGCCTGGAGTTCATCACTGCTTTCCTGTGCCACGGAGATCCTGAAGCTTTGGTTCTGCAGGACTGGCTCCTTTATGTAACAGTTCATAGAGGAGGTAGATGCTGGGGTGGGCCAACCCAAAGCCCTGGTTCTGGGCCTGCGTAGGAGCCGAGTTGGTCAGCCTACCAGCTTTCCTGCACCCACACCACCAAGGCCGGCTCTGCAGCATGCTCTGGCTGGCTCACCTAAGTGCTGCAGCCAGCAAGGGGTGGGCCAGTTCTCCCTGGATCCTTCACCCCTGCCTACTGTACCAGGGACAGCTCTGTGGGCCAGCTCTCCCACTCTCATGACCTTGGAGCCCTCTCTCCTTTTCAAGTCCTCTCTTTTGTTCTGAACTCACAGAGTAAAGTAATTTCTGCCTGTAAGGGTGCATACCTACCTTATATAAACAATTCATAATTTTATCTATAACATTGTTCAAAATTTTCATTGAACCAGAGCAATAACTCATTGCAAAGAACATTAGCAAGTAAAGATATCTGGACAAAAGTATACACTGTGTAACACACTGTGACACACTGCCATTTCCATGATGAGATTTTTAAATTTTTATTGTTATTTTTATTTTATTTTAATCTTTTGGGGAGGCTGCAAGGGCAGACGGTGGATAATAAGAGATGGCTTAATGAGTAGGACTTGGGTATATGATGTGAAATTCACAATCAATTAAAAGTTTTAAAAAGGGGGTGGGGAGAAGAAGGAAGCACTGGCAATGCGTGAGGGGAGTGGGAGGAGTTGTAAACTAAATTAAGATACATTGTTTACATGTATGAAACGGTCACATAATAAAAGCTATTCTGTAATAATTCTAAAATTAAAAATGTTTTCGATGGTTAGTACTGTGGATCTCCAAAAAATTAATTTTAAAAAGAAAATACTCTTCCATTAAGGTTGATAATTTGAGCATCTATGTTACAAAACTACAGACAAAAATTAATTTCCTTATATCTGTCTATAAAATGAAAATGATATGAAAAGTGGTAAAATCAATAGGAGTTTCTCCAATATCCTTGGATAGAAGTTTGAAATGTTAGTCTGTATTCTTCTCAGTTCTTGTGTGTTTGTTGGCCAGTTAGAGATAAGCCCAGGCTTTGCATGGCAGACAAGCATTCTACCACTGAGCTCAATCCCTAGGGCCTAGGACATTATATCAATCAGATCAAAAATTAAGTTGTAGGCTTTATAAATCTAACGACTTTGTTACAGGAAGCTTCTGCCTTACCTTTAATAACTCAAAGTAATGCCAACAGTGATACACTGGCACCAGCATGAGACGTGGAAGGACGTAACGAACAGCCTCCTTAAAGCCATCAGCAATGGACTGCAAAGTAAAAAGACATAGCACATCTCTGAAACCAGTGGCACATAACAGCAGAGCCTCAAGAAGGCAGCTCTGAAGTACAAGATTCAGAGTCGTCAAGGTGACAATCCGAAGTACATCTACTGAAAGTGAGGTGCTAGAAATCAGGTTCACCTCCCTATCCTGCACATCACTGAGAAGACATGTTTCTGCATCCATTACATGGCAAAGTGCCTTTCACAATGTTGTCTACAGATTTTCTTCAAACATCTGGGTTTCCACATACTCTAAAGAAAATTTTAAAAGCTATTCACTGTAAGTTAGGCTAGTCAAAGTGGCATACACATGTAATCCCACCTGAGGGAAGCCAAGGAAGGATGGTTGCATAATACGGGCCATTCTAGCTACAGACCTAGAACCTATCTTAAATTTGCAGGCAAATGGTGGGAACTGGAAAACCTTCCTCAGTGAGGTATCCCAGAAGCAGAAAAACACACAGGGTATATACTCACTCATAAATGGATATTTATAAATGGATAAATGGATAAACCTACCGAAATCTATACACCTAAAGAAATGAATCAAGAAGGAGGACCCTAGCTAAACGGCTCAATCCACATTCAGAAAGGCAAAGAGGATGGACATCAGAAGAAGAGGAAAATGGGGAACAGGACAGGAACCTGACACAGAAGACCTCTGAAAGGCTCTACCCTGCAGGGTATCAAAGCAGACGCTGAGACTTATGGCCAACCTTTGGGCAGAATGCAGGGAATCTTATGAAAGAAGTGGGAAATAGTAAGACCTGGGTAGGACAGAAGCTCCACAAGGAGAACAACAGAACTAAAAAATCTGAGCACAGGGGTCTTTTCTGAGACTGATACTCCAACCAAGGACCATTCATGGGGATTACCTAGAACCCCTGCACAGATGTAGCCCATGGCAGTTCAGTATCCAAGTCGGCTCCATAGTAATGGGAACAGGGTTGTCTCTGACATGAACTGATTGGCCTGCTCTTTGATCACCTCCCCCTGAGTGGGGAGCAGCCTTACCAGGCCACAGAAGATGACAATGCAGCCAGTCCTGATGAGACCTGATAGACTAGGATCAGAAGGAAGCAGAGAAAGACCTCCCTTATCAGTGGACTTGGGGAGGGGCATGTGTGGAGAAGGAGGAGGGAGGGTGGGATTGGAAGGGGAGGAGGGAGGTGTTCATGGGGGGGATACAAAGTAAATAAAGTGTAATTAATAAAAATTAAACAAACAAACAAAAGAAACAACAGCCAATAAATAAAAGGAAATATTAGAAGTTCAAATAATTACAAAGAATGTATTTAAGGATGTTGTATACTATAAATGTTTCTAAAATATATTTCTCCAATGAATAAAAACAATTCAGAGTTAGCTTGTTTATGAAAAATATCTAGCATTTAGCTCAACTGACAAAGTTAACTCTGCTTACAAAATGAACAGCCGTGTCAGACAGGGTTTGTCAGGAGCCTGGCGAGATTAATTTCTTTTAGCACTTGCTCTTGATGGTCCGCATGCTCCTGTTTTCCAAAACATCACACTGAAGTCTAACCCCCATCCTCAAGAATGAGGCTGATAACCTGATAAGGGCCTAAGGGAACATGGAGTCCCCTTCCTCAGACCATGAATATGCCAGCATTGTGAATCTGAAATCCCCAGCCTCCAGGGCAGTGAGAAGCAAGTTTCATCTTTTTAGTTACCCAATGGATAGCATTTTGTTGCGGCTGAATCATCGACAAGAAAAGCATTAAACTACTTACTACTGATCTGAGTCAGTCAGCGTAGTATTTCTAGCTAGGACCAATTCAACACTTTAAAGCTAGTCTACAAAGACCATCTACTTTATTAATTTGCAGTGAAATGGCTATTCAAGTGTAGTCTCAAATTTCTGCACTGCTAATTTTCAGTAGAAAGACTTGTTTGATAATAACATGAGCTAACATTTGTTGAATGTGTAATCAGTGAAGTATAGTGCTTTTTATGTATATATTTTATGTATACATATGTATGTATAATTGGGCGTATAATGTGTAAATAATGGCTATATACATTATATAGCCATCAATTCCAGGACTGCCTGATCTGCACATGTTCTACCACTGAGCTACATCCCCAGCCTCCTGACATCATTTTCTCATTTGCTTTTGTTTTCTGCTGTTTTAAAGACAGGGTCTCATGTAGCTCACACTGGCCTCAAACTTGTAGCAATTCTCCTGCTTCAGCCTCCTGTGTGAGAATACAGGTGTTTAAATCACCAAACCTGACTTTTCACTCTACAGTTTCTAAACATGTATTTTGTTTCCTTTTTAACGATACATCCCTTCAACTGAATGGTAATTTAAAGTTAATACAAATGAGTCTGACCACAAAAAATGGTCTTATCTAACTCTTAATTTAACTGTTTTCTGGAGCTAAGGCTTTCAAAATCAGATCCTTAAGGACTAGAATGTAGAACATTTGCTAGGTGAGCACAGGGCACCGGGTCTGAGTCCTTAAACCCTCCTTCCCAGTCCCTCCCCAGATTCTACAGATTCAAATCTCACAGAAAAGTCTTCCTGGTGGTTATTAGTGCTTTGCTTTGCTTTGTTTTGACCTGGAAATCGAAACCAGGGCTTTATATGTTACATTAGGTAAGTGTTCTGCCACCAAGCTACAAACACAGCTTAGACTTCCTTCCTAATAGAATAAAAACAAAACAAGAACTACATTCTTGGCGTGTTTAGTGTTCTAGGTCCTAAGATAAAGGCTGCCAAGTTTATGGTTTATATGAATTACAGCTGATTTTTTAAATCCCATTTTGAAGTAAACTTTTGAGCATTAAACAAGATTTTTATTCTACTTTGATAGATTTCTGAGGGTGGTACACTAGAGGCTAATGAAGGTTATTCTTATTAAAAATGGCAGGGAGAAGACAGTCATTCAGATTCAAATGTTAGATCTGAGCCAGGTGTTGTTGTACACACCTGTAACCCTGGATACTCAGGAGGTCAAGACAGAAGGATCACAATTTTGAGACCAGCTTGTACTGTGTAATGTAGTTGTACACTATCTTAAACATAAAAATGAAAAAAGGCTGTGGATGTAGCTCAGTAGCAGAGCATTTGCCTAGCAGACAGGTCCTGAGTCTCTACGAACACACATACATACAGAGAGAAAGAGAGAAAGAGAGAGAGCACGCTCCATATTTGAAGGGTTGATAGTCCAGTAAAAAACAGTTCAAGAGAGTCAATTATATGAAAATGTCCAACACACACATACAGATACATTCTCTCTCTCTCTCTTTCACACACACAAGTACATGCACAAGCACACCCACAGGAATGTTATGGCCTAGAAACAGAATTAAAAATAAGCAGCACATACAGGGGGTGATGTAACCAAGACAGCATGGAAGCACTGAGGCCGGGAGTGATAACAGAACTTGAACAAGAACAACAAAGGAGACTAAGAAAGCAGAGACAACAGGAACTGGAGTATTACAGGAGCCAAGGGACAAGAAGGGGCTTAACAAATACTGCTTAACTAAAATATTCTCTGGATAAGTAAGTAAGTTTTGTCCAAGCAGTTTTGAGTGTTGTAACTTGATTAGGACACAGAAAGAAGTGAAAAATTACACAAAGACAGCTCACCGCCCAGTGAAAAAAGAAAGGAAGAGTAGCTGGAGAGACATAAGGCTGCTTCACTTGTTTGCTTGTCTGAGGAGCATGTAGGAGGAAAGAGCTGTCCCAGAAGTCTCCATAATTAACAAGCTGTCAAATACCGTCTATGCAGCATAACGTTCATAAATGTTGACAGAATAAAGCTGTAATTCTATCTGACTCTACTTATCTTCATCTAACCTAGAAAGTATTTATACTCTTTTTATAAGGTATCTGTCTCCTTTGAAAAGAAGATTCAATTTTCTATTTACGCACATGTAGGTGCCTATGGAGTCCAGAAGAGGGGTTATCAGATCCTGGAGCTGGAGTGACAGACAATTTTGAGCCACCCAATGTGGGGGACCCAGGAACTGAACTTCAATTCTCTACAAGAGCAGCAAGCTCTCCTGAGGCTGAGCCATTTCTCTACCTTCCTTTAAGCTGTATGACTGCGGAAGAAGTATTGTTACATATGAAATTATTCTGAACTATTAATTTATCCTTATCGTTCCCCCACAGTTCCTAAAATAGCATTTCAGCTTCCTCTCTATATCCCTGTCTACTAAGTGTGGATGTTCTACATTAAGAACAGACCGAAAGACCTTGAGGCCAGGGCGCTTTTCTTGGAAGTACCAGATCTTGAGTTAGACCCCAGCACTCAGGTGAAGAAAGCTGGGCATAGTGCCCTGTGCTTACAGGCCCAGTGTGGAGGAGGTGAGGAGGCAGAGCCACACACTTGCTGGCTAGCCCACTAGCCTGCTAAGTAGATTCCAGGCCAGGGAGAGACTGTCTCCAATAAAAATGTGGACAGAACCTAAGAGACAACATCTGACATTTTTTCCTCACCACACACATGCACGTAGACATTCTTGCATGTACACACATGCACGCATGCACACACACACAAAGGATTTGAAGGACTAATAAGACTTTCCCCACTTTCTTTAGAAAGATAATGAAGCATTTCTTTATTTCACGATAAAAATAGTAACAAAACTGAACTCAAGTTTACCTGAAAGTGTAAAGCAACTGCAGGTCTGGCCATCAACTTACTGAAGTGGTCATGAAACTCTGGTGAAAGGATGTCCTGCGAGAGCGTTTCATAGGGATCAAAAGCTTGCTCCTGTTTTTAAAAAGCACAGAGAGTTAGGTTTAAGGAAAACATTTAATACTAATATGGTACAGATTATATAATGACAAGATTTTGTTCATGTTTCCAGCTACATCTTATGACTTTTTTCTACTTTTCTGAGAAAATAATAGTTATGGTACAGGGGATACATTTTTTAAAAATATTAATCATGGACCTTAAACAACAGATAAATAGTAACAAGCCTTAAGACTAAATAACTGATTTTTATGGTACCCAACTATTAAAATGCATATTTTATCTCTAGAAAATTTTAAGCCTATTTGTTCGTAAAAGAAAGCTATAAATGCAAAGTTACTTATGTTGGAATAAATTTACTAAATGCTATTTTTTTTAAATTGACCAGTCTTTATTTTTAAACAATTTATTATTTATTGCATGTGCATTGGTGTTTTGCCTGCATGTTTATCTGTGAGGGTGTCGGATCCCATGGAAATGGAATTACAAACAGTTTTGAGCTGCCATGTGGGTGCTAGGAATAGAACCCAGGTCCTCTGGAAGAAAAGCCAGTGCTCTTAACACTGAGCCATCTCTCCAGCCCCTAAATGCTATTCTTAAAGGAATTAAAATGAATACCTTTGTCTTATCTACTCTACAGTTTCCAAAATTACAAAAGAGTAAATACACAGTAAACTAATAACACAAAAACTGTTTAAGTCCATATTTATAAAAATTATATTTATAAAAATATAAAATATATTTATAAAAATGTATAAGAATGATCAATAATCTTAAAGTTTAGTTAAGACATTTATTTCCTTTTTGTACCTTAAAAATACAAAATAAGGGACTGGAGCAAGAGCTAGAAGTTAAGAGCACCAGCTGCTCTTCCAGAGGCCCAGAGTCCAGCTCTCACCCACTGGACAACCATCTGTTGTGCCAGTTTCAAAGGATCTGATGGCCTCTTCCAGGCTCCACAGGTACCAGACACACATGTGATGCACTGACGTACATGCTCACACACAGACATAAATATATACATTTTTTAAGAAAATAAACCAGGGGTCTTATAAAGCAGAATAAACAAATACCAACATGTTTTAGCTAGGTAGACACTGAGAAAGCAGAATTCCTGTCCACTGCTAGGAATGTTAAAATACAGCCCAGCCCTTCAAAAACTAAGACAAATTCACCACATGATCCAGTATTCTTATATATGCTGCATTAACGGAAAACACTACAGCATTAAACAGCATTCTTAAAAATGGAACAACAAAACATGAATATGATACAGGCTGTGCATTCCCTCTGAGACATGCTTCAAACACAGAAGTGTTTCCGATTTTAGAGGTTTTTGGGGTTTTGGAATACTTACATAGACTTTACTGGTTAAGTCTATGAAAGTATCTCTAGTCTACAAATTGAAAATCCCAATTTCTTAGTGCAGGTTCAGAGTGATAGATTTCAGGGTATGTCAGCCTTCAGATCTGCAGGATGTTCTAACTAGGTGGAGCATGTATCAGAACATCACTCATCCAGAGAAGAAATGGTGGTCTGACATGCACCAGCATGGCTAACCTTACAGCATTATGCTAAATGAACCAAAAAGCCAGAGAGGACAAACATCCTATGAGCCCACTTATTTACAGAGATGGAAGATGATGAGTGGCTACCAGGAGCTGGGGCGGGGGGTGGGGGAGAGTGTAGTGTGCAGGGGAAGGATCCTATTACTGTTCACTGGGTGGTTTTATTTTTGAGATGATGAATTAGTTTTGGCTGGTCATGATGATATAATATTAAGAATTTATTTACAATCACTGAACTACTTAGTGAACTACATATTTATAAATAATTAAAATACAGTCAGCGGGATGGCTCAGCAGACAAAGAAACTCGCCACCAAGCCTAGTAACTTAAAGATTCATGGGACCCATAGGACAGAAAGCAGAACCAACTCTTGCAAGTTGTTCTCTGGCCTCTACATGCATACACACATTACACGCATACACACACACATGCACACAAATACATCTACTAAAAAAGTGGTTAACATTCAAATGTTATTTTCTTATATAATCAAAATTAAAACAAAATTAATACAGCATTTAGAAGCAAAGTACATTTTAGGGCATAGAAAATTAATGAGACAATAAATTACTCTCAAAATAAAATGTTATTAAGAACAAAGGCTGAACCAGACACTGAAACTCAGGCCTGTAACCCCACATTCAGAAGGCTGACACAAGAGAACTGAAAGTTAAAGGTCAGTATGAGATTTGCAGCAGGATTCTGTGTCTCAAAAATCAGAAACAAACACAAGCTAATGCTCAGGAACAAAATGGACAAAATAAAAGTGAACTCTATTTTCAGAAGATACAGGCAGAGATTATGGAAGTAGGTGATTATTGTATATGAAATCTAAAGCAAAACTTTTAAAGAACCAATTTCCTCTGTTCTCCTTTGTGAAGTTCCTGTTCCCTCCAGGTCCTTCTATCTCACTTTTCTTCCATAGGGTTGCCAGCACTCTGCCCAAAGTTTGGCTATGAGTCTCAGTATCTCCTTTAATGCCCTGGTGGATAGAGTCTTTCAGAGCCTTTGTGATAGGCTCCTGTCCTATTCCTTCTCTTCTACTTCTGAATGAGGATTAAGCATCTTCCCTAGGGTCCTACTTGTTGTTTAGCTTCTTTAGCACTATAGATTTTAGTATGCTTATTTTAGTATGTTTATTTAGTATGTTAAGCTAATATCCACTTATAAGTGAGTATATACCATATGTGTCTTTCTGCTTCTGGGATACCTCACTCAGGATGATTTTCTTTTCTTTTTTTTTTTAAATTAATTACACTTTATTCACTTTGTATCCCCCCCATTAGCCCCTCCCAATCCCACCTTCCCTCCCCCTTCTGCACACATGCCCCTTTAAAAATATATTTATTTATTTATGCATATGAGAGCTTTTAGCTGCATGTACACGTGTATGACAGAACAGAGCATCAGATCCCATTATAGATGATTATAGATGTGGTTGCTGGGAATTGAACTCAGGACCTCTGGAAGAGTAGCCAGTGCTCGTAACCTCCAAGCCATCTCTCCAGCCCAGGATGATCTTTTCTAGATCCCACCATTTGCCTGTAAATTTCATGATTTCCTTGTTTTTAATTGCTGAGTAGTATTCAATTGTGTAAATGTACCAGGGGGCTGCAGAGACCAATACTCCAACCAAGGACCATGTATCGAGAGGACCTAGAACCCCTGCTCAGAGGAAGCCCATAAGCTGCTCAGTTTCTGAGTGGGTTCTCTAGTAAGGGGAACAGTGGCTGTCTCTGACATGGACTCAGTGGTCAACTCTTTGATCACCACCCACTGGGGGGAGCAGCCTTGCCAAGCCACAGAGGAAGATGATGCAGCCAGTCTTGATGAGACCTGATAGGCTAGGGTCAGATAAAAGAGGAGGAGGACCTCCCTATCAGGGGGCTAGGAGAGGGGCATGGGAGGAGATAAGAGAGGGTGGGTGGGACTGGGAGAGGATGAGAGAGGGGGCTGCAGAAGGGATACAAAGTGAATAAATTGAAATAAATAAATAAATAAATAAATAAAAACATATACTCATAAATGTATACTTTTTAAATAAAGAATTATTAGCCATAAAAAAGAACCAATTTCCATAGGGGGAAAATGGCCATTGAGTGTGTGAAGATCCCAACATGTTTTTTTTTTTTTTAAACAGGTAATATAAGTACAACATATATACTCATTCATCATAACAATAACACACTTATACTGTGTAAAAATGTTACTTGTGTGTGTCCTCGTGTCCACATGCTGCAGTGAGCAAGTGGCAGTCAGAAGACAACTTGCAGAAGTCAGTTCTTTCTTTCTATGTGGGTCTGAGGATTAACCAGGTTGTAAGTCTTGCTGGCAAGCACCTTTACTTGCTTACCCATCTTGCCAGCCCTATATATTTGTAATTTTATACTTAAAAATTATGCTTAAGTATATTTACTAACATGGAAAATATGACAGAATGAAAAACACAAAACAAGAGAATATTATTCTTGTAAATATACACATAGCTTTATAAAATGCACAGAGCATATTTATATAAGGATAAATGTAGGGGGCTAGAGAGATGGCTCAGTGGTTAAGAACATTAGCTGCCCTTCCAGAAGACCTGGGCTCAAGACTCAGTACCCACATGGTAGCTCATACTCTCTGTAATGGCCTCCTTGGGTACTGCATACACGTGGTACACAGACATACATGCACACATCCAAACATATAAAATAAACAATTTAAAAAAGAATGTTATAAGTCATAGTAGCCATATTTATATTTCAATTTAACACGTTTACAAAAATGTATATCATTTTTACAATCATTTAAAAGAACAAAATGAGATTTCAAAAGGCCTTTGATTTTTAAAAATGAAGTCTAAAAACCACAAAAGCTAAAGAATAGTATCAACATTGTTTTCTTTACCTTAAATGTATTAACTTAGTATTAAAGAATTCCTGCATGTTATTAGTATATAAGCTTTCACAATAAGCGCTACCATAAGTACACTATAAAGAAAGTTTCAGAAGCTAGGCACAAGCATGCTCTTGCATCCTAGCTACCTGAGAGGCTAGGGTGTAGAGGAATTTTAATTCAGAACATAGCTGCTCTGGCAAGAGATCCTATCCAAAGACCTTAAACACACCTGTAATCCAGGAGACAGAAGCAAGCAGATCTCAGTTCAAGGCCAGCGTGTTATAGCACAAGTTTCGGTAAAGACAAGTTTAGATGCAGGTGTGGTAATATATGCCTTTAATCTCAAAAATGAAGATAAAAGTTAGGAAGCACCCATGTTTGAAAGTGATGTCTAATTGAGTGGCAGAAAAAGTGACAAATCAGAGAAAGATTTGACATAATCAAATCAAATATGCCCAACTTTCAAGAGAATTTAGAGAAAAGGGAAGCTACATAAGGGAGCTTGTGTATGAGAATGAGGAGAGAGGAGGCAGTTTTACCAGGATAGTCATAGAGAGACAGGTTTCAGAGAAAGAACGTAGGTGAAGACTGAATGAGCCAGAGAAAGAGAAGGAGCCAGAAGATTAGAAAAGATTGTTGGGGTTAGTTGGAGATCAATTCAGGAGCCTAGAGAGAAGCCAGATTGAATAAATCAGCTGGGAGAGGAGTTTGAGTCAGAACGGCTGAGTTGAACCAGCCAGCCCAGAGCACAGTAAGGACAAGTCAGTGTGAGTTTATTCAGCAGTAAGTCTCAGAGGCTGAAAACATTCTAGGCCTAGGTTAGATAGTATGGAGACTAGAAGCTTCCAGGACTAGGCATAGGTTAGCAGACGGACAGTAAGCCTCCGAGACAACTGAAACAGGCAAATAAAAGTTCATTTTACACTAGGACATCAGGGTTGTAAGTTCAAAGCTGCAAACATAACTGAACCTTGAGTATTTTTTATAGTAGTCAGCAGAGCCTCTGAATTTTACAAAAAATATGAAATTTCTTGATACAATTTTAAGACTTTAATGACTGTTGAAAGTGGTTTTGTATACTTACCTCTGCTAAATCTTCAAAACAGCTGCCAGCTAATGGATGAGGACTACTTTCATCTGTCATTTCTACTGTGTCTTCAATTAAACCTAAAAGTTTCACAGTCAATTCGTGTATATCTGAAATGTTACTGAAAATCTTTTCAATTTCCTGAAAAAGAAAAGAGGTTAAGGGTGAGAATCATGCTTACACATTACCACACGAAACAGAAGTGGGCTGAGGAGATGGCTGAGTGTATACCACACAGGCATAAAGACTTGAGTTCAGAGCCCAGCATTCGGGCCAGGTGTGCTGGTGTGCATTTGTGATCCTGGGGAGAGGGGCAGAACCAGCTGGCTCCCTGCTGCTCCAGGACCAGCCTAGCAGAATAAATGAGCTCCAGGCTCACAGACAGAACCTGTCTCAACAGGAGGGGAGTAGTAGGATGGCTCAGCTGGCGCAGAGTCATCTGAGTTCCAGCTCCAGGACATATATGGTGAAGAAAGAACCCGTTCCCACAGGTTGTCCTCCATGTGCACGTATATGTTTGTGTGTGTATACACACGCATGCATGCACACACAATATATAGAAGTGTTAAAAATGTATTTTCACCTGGTCTAATGAAAGACATGTCAACCATGAATACAATGACAATTTTAAGAAGCTCTTGAACCAGAGGATGTAAATATACTAGAAAATATAAATTCTAGATAGATTGAATTTATAATCCTCAAGTCTCATACATCATGAACATTTCCTTATATAAAATAACACTGGTATTTATGTTTGAAATTGGCTGAGATGGTAAAAGAATGAAGGTCTCAGAGAGTAAACTAACAACAATGGCTAGGATCAGAATGAAAATGACTCCTAATCTAGATGTAATATGGTTGTTCAATTTATTGCTCATGTTCTAGGTTTTGAAAGGAACTAAAGGTGTCATTAAACTGCCACACTTGAATCACTGTTGTACTTAGGTTAAGTCATGAGCTCTGTGGAAACAAACAGATCACAATACTTACTACTTAGGCTCCAGTCAACCACTTATCCTAATGTCTTGTAATGGGAACATAATGGCTGTGGAACACAGCCAACCCTCAAGCTAAATTCTAGCATTACTACTTTTGTATCATAGTATGAGTATGTGTGGCCTTTGTCCTGGAGCTCCAGAAACACTGGGAATTTCCCGGGTGACAAAGTTGCTTCACACAGTCTTATTAGATTGGTACCTTCAACATCCCCGTATCACAAATGAGAACAGAGGTACCAGAGAGTCAGAGAATTTGCCCATGGCTACATGCATTGTAACTGACATCAATTTTAACTCATTTTTTTTTTCTTTTTCAACATTTGCCAAGAACTATTCTCTGATCTTAGATGGTCTTTAACTGAATAGTTCACACTACAGTCTATGTGGGAGAAAGTTTATACTAGATACATCGAAGAAAAAAAAGAAATTCTTTCTTCTAACCTTCACTATAACAGAGACTGTCTAGCAAATCTGCTAGAAAAGAGACAAATGAAAACTAGTGTGATACAGGAAAGATAATATTAACCAATAATATTTGCTACTTTTATTCTTAATATTGTCATAGAAAACCACTTTATATTGTACTAGAACTCAAATTCAAGCCCAAGTGCTATAATGAATTTAACTAATTCGATGATTTTACACCAAAAAAGTAGAAACAATAATGTCTGGCCTAAATATGTCACATATTTATATGGATCAAACAAAACTGAATAGTACATAAAAAAAAATGCTGGCAACAGTTTAACATCTTCAACAGGAGTTGGCAACATTATTGAACTAAAATGCATCAAAAGAAACAACTCAAGGTCAATTAAAACACCTTGAGTTAGCATTTTAATCATTCTGCTAGAAAAGAGTAAAAGCCCTCAGGTCTGAAGTTTTCACAGCTGTGCCTGAGTGCTGTGCCTGTGTATTTAAAAATGTGACTGTGGTGAAGAACTTAGGAGGCATAAAACAGATAAACTCAAGACTAAATATTTTAAAATAGAAGTCAAACATACTTAGAGAGCAATACACCATTGCTAAAAGAAGGAAAGAAAAAAAAATCTTTTAAAAAAGCGTGTTTTTGTAGCTGGGTTTTTTTAGGGTTGACCTGGTTTTCATTTGCTTACCTTGAGACAGTATTTCCCTAGTAGGACTGCACCTCCCAATTCTCCTGCCTCCGTATTTTGAATTCAGGCCCTATGGTCATGAGCCACACCCTGAGAGAGTGAGTTTAGATGCTACAGAGAGAAAAGAGGGCCACAGCACTCTGAATCCAGGCCACTCATATTATCCCCACCCTGTCTGCAAACAGAAGACCACTACCTTTGATTCTTCACTTGCATTATTTTAATATGTTCCCTTTTAAACTCCATGCTGTTGGGGCTGGCCGGATGGCCCAGTGGTTAAGAGCAGTGATCCGCTGCTTTTCTGGAGGACCAGGTTCATTTAGCAGCACCCACATGGTAGCTCACAACCATCTCTAACTCCAGTGCCAGGGGGCCCAGTGTCCTCTTCTTTCTTCCACAGTCACCTTGCACAGATGTGGTACACAAACACACATGTGGGCAAAACACTCTCATGCACAAGTAAATAAATAAAATTATCCAAAGTTCCACTGTTATATGAGCTTGGTGGCACATACCTTTAATCTCAGCACTTTTAAGGCAGAAGCAGGTGGATCTCTGTGAGCTCAAAGTCAATCTGGACTACAAAGTAAGCTCTAGGCCAGCCAGAGCTACATAGAGAGACTCTGCCTCAAAAATAAAACAAAACAGCACCACCACCCCCCAAAATTTTAAAATGTCCACAGTTAAAGCTTGCTGCCTTAAAGCTCCCAGCAGAAGGCAGGGAGCACATGCCTTCTAGACCATTTCTTCACCATCCTAAATGAATGACTACATGTCATCACATCTGACTAACCTCTTATTGTACAGCAGAAAATGTCATCATTCCAATGAAAATCCCTCCTCTTGAATCTCTACTGTCACTGCACTTACATCTGTATAATAATTCAGATGGTTTGGCTCAGAGATTTGTGAAAGAAATTTTATACACTAGTGAGGTAAACAATACACTAATATGAATCTTAACCTGCTATTTGCTTGAGGGATACCCACAGGGATACTTTCCAGTGCCCAAAGTACTTACAGAAGACTTGAACAACTTTTTGTCTGAAAGAAAGGCTTCCCGGAATACTTTAATGATCATATTCAGTTCTCGTAGATACTGTCTTTCTTCTGCGATTTCGGTTCTGACAAGGTCATAATAGTTTAGCTCACCAGAAGAACTAGGTTCATCTTCACAGAGAGAAACCAAGCCTATATCATCATCCTGATCAAACATGTCCATCAAAACCTGGAAAGTACAAATCAGTAATGAGGAGTTACTTTCCTTCCTTTTATAAAGTTGTCTCCAAGTACTTGCAATGAAAACATTGTTGAGCAGTAAGAACTATATATTGCACACACAAATTTATATTAGAAAATTTAGGGGAAAGTCAGGATGAGGGATGACCACCTGGATAGTGTAAGGTCATATGTGTACACTGACATACACCCACACACACAGAGGTGTGCATTAGCAAAAGGAGCTTGCTTTTAGGGAAGAACAATCTGAGCCAAAGCCACAGTCCATGACCTAGACACTGTGATCACAGGTGAGTACTTATTCCTATGAAAGGCGTACTCTTCCCATGTAAAACATGACAAGAAGAAGGATTGATGATGTCCAGCAAATAACTGGTATCCAAAACTCCTTGCTGTGTCACAAAGAAGGCAGCACTCACCCGAGTAGAACTGAGGAGAAAGGAAGTATCATTATAAAGGCAGGGGATCATCTACGGTAGTGTGAAGTTATCTAAAGCAGTGTTCTCTCTCAACCTTGTATCAGAAAGATTTTTTATGAAAATTATATCTGTACTTAACAAACATTTCTGTCATTATTACTTTATGCATGTGTATTTGTATGTATGTGTGTGTATGTAACAGTGTGCATGTCAGCCAATAGGCAAGAAATATTCATAAATCGAAAGCAACGGGAATAAGGTGACTCGATACCTTAACACTGTTTTTTCTCATTGGACCTAGTTAATTATGTATTCAAAACTGATTGAAAGTACTGCTAAGAGTTCAGAAAAGGGGGCTGGAGAGATGGCTCAGTGGTTAAGAGCACTGTTTGCTCTTACAAAGGACCTAGGTTCAATTCCCAGCACCCATATGTCAGCTCACAACTGTCTCTAACACCAATTCATTCCAAGGGGTCTGACACCTTCACATTAATACACATAAAATAAAAATAAATAAATTATTTAAAAAGAAAAAGAGTTCAGGAAAGACCTGGAAAATGGCTCAGTGGTTAAGAATGCTTACTGATTTTGGAGAGGACACAGGTCCGATTCCCAGCACCAATACCAGGAGGTTCACAACCACCTGTAACACCAGTTCCAAAGGATTTGACACTCGCTGGCCACTATGGGTGCATGTGCCCATTTGGTGCACAGAAACTGATGTAGGTACATACATTCACATAAATCAGAAATAATTTTAAAAAGTACAAGGAAAGGTTGAGTTGGGGAGAGGGACACATTGGGGATGCCTGCGGGAATGAGAGGGAGGAGTTGGGAGCTCCTGTGGGGAGTTGGAGGTGCAAGTGGTCAAGATGCAGTTCAGTTTCAGGGAATCCCAAGCCTTCTTTTAACCTCTGCAGGACCCAAGCACATACATACAAGCAGGTAAGAAACTCACACACATAAAAATAAATAAAAATGGTAAACATATTGTACTTTTTCAAAAGGGAAAGGAGCTGGGAAAGAGGGCTCAGCAGGGTGCCGCTGGCTGCCAAGCCTGAGAATGTGACAGTACAAGGGAAAAGAGCAGAACTAACTTTCGAAAGCGGTTTTCAGACCTCAACATAAATGACGGAAATAAACACTAAATCATTTTATTTTTAAGAGTTCAGGGGGAAAAAAAGAAAGGTATTCCCCTGAAAAGAAAGTCTTGTCAGAGAGAAAACTATAATAATAAAAGATAACATTCATTCATTCAGCAAAAGGTCTACCTGTCACCAGAAATTGTACCAACTCTTGCTGAACCACAGTAATGGATAAAAAACGCTGCCCTCTGGCCCTGATGACTGTCACTCAGAAGTTTTAAAAACTTGTCAGTTCTCCCATGTACCTCTGTTTTGTTATTGCTGTTTGTTTGGTTTCGTTTTTCCATTTGGTTTTAGTGTGCTTTGTTTTTTGAGACAGGATCTCATTATGCAGTCCTGGCTGGCTGCCTTGAAATCACTCTGTAGCCCAGGCTAGCCTCAAATTCACAGAGATCTGCCTGCCTCTGTCTCCAAGTGCTGGGACTAAAGGTGTGCACCATGCCGGCTTTTTTTTTTTTTTTTTCTTTTCTTGACAAGGACTCACCCTGTAGTTCAGGCTGGCCTAGAAATCACTATGAAGGCAAGGCTAGCGCTGAGGTTGTAGCTGTCTCCTGCCTCAGCTTCCTAAGTGTTGAGTTTGCAGGAGTAGCCACTGTGATCAGCCTCGTCTACGCTTTAAACAGTCGCCATTTCTTACAGTGGCACATGAATCTCACAATTTGATCTATTTACCACAGGCCTTTCCCAAGCCCTTTTTCAAAAGCTGTATTCCTAAAGATAAATTTATTTCACGCCTTATATGAAGATGATCTGGATTTATTGTCTTCTGCATAAGATCTTAATTTCTCTAAGATAAAGCAAGTCACAATTTAACCACAACTTGCTCTCCTAACCTCACAGCCTGTGGCATTCTCAAATCTTTCTTTTCATTTCCGGTTCTATGAAAGCTACCCTCTTTGTCACTGAGTAACACTTCTTCCAACTCCTGTCCACCTTAGACCCGAGGAGGCCAAGGGACCTGTATAAGCAATATTTGTATGAAATCAGATTGCAAACAGAAATACAAAATAACTGAATGTGCAACAAAAAATACACAGAAGAGCAACCTTCCTCTTTTCTCCACAAGATATCTTTTCAGAATGGTCTGTGGTGCTCATTCCCTCTAATTCCCAGGCTCATTCATTATCAAACTCACTAATTCCTTCCTTCCTACAGATCTAGTGCTATGCCTTTGCATTCTTGTTCTCTAGTACTTTTGGGCTTGTTTTTCTGAGATAAAGTCTTGTTACTAGACCAGGCTAGCCTCAAATTTGTCATCCTTTTGGACCAAATTCCTAAGTGCTAGAATTATAAGCATAAAAATCCATGTCTAGCTTCTCTAGTTTTGAACAGCTCACTGTTCTCTATTTAAAAACCCTTTCCCCCTTGGAAAGGATGGCTCAGTGATTAGGAGAACTTGCTGCTTTTGTAAAGTAGCAAGGTCTGGTTCCCAGCACCCACACAGCAGCTCACTGTTGTCTGTAACACCATTTCCAAGGGACCCATTACACTCTCTGACCTCTGTGGGCACTGCATGCACTTATATAAATGCAGGCTAAACATCCAGCCATATTAAAAACAAACAACATGGCCCCAAAGACCGCGTGTTACAGCCTTGGTCCCTAGCCATGAAACTTTGGCGAAGTATGGAACCTTTGACAGATAGTCTTCTGGGAATAAATTACTGGCTTAATACACAAAAAGCGGGTACTGGACCCCACACCCTGCTCTGTCTACTAGCAATCGTCTATCTTTCCTACAGAATTGCCCAATTTTCACTGAAATTTCTGTTCATGTTTTCTCCAATTAGAAAATTACTGTCTAAGGATTAAAAACCATGCACAAAAAAGTGTTTGCTTAAAGGGCTTGGTTATAAACTATCAGAGTGACTGAAGGAAATAAGAAACAGCACAGCAGCCGGGCAATGGTGCAGACTCTGAAAAGCTGTGTGAGGTTTTCATTTGCACTAAGTGATGTAAAGATGGGTGGGGACTGAATATGTGAGACAGACGGTCTAGACGGGAATATAGGAAAGTGACCAGATTAAGAAGGACTTATGGGTTAAGAGTTAACAGGATTTGGGGAGTGGCGTAAAGGCTGTAGGGATGGTAGAAAACTAAAGGCTGTAACAACTTTTACAGATCCAAAAATCTCACATAAAATCTAGATTTCAGCCGGGCAGTGGTGACACACACCTTTAGTCCCAGCACTCGGTAAGCAGAGGCAGGTGAGTCTCTGTGAGTTCAAGGCCAGTCTGGCCTAAGGAGAGTTCCAGGATAGCCATGGCTATATGGAAAAACCCTGTCTCAAAAAAACAGACAGACAGACAGATAGATAAGACAGACAGACATCTAGATTTCAGACTTTGTTCAAAAAGAAAATATCTGGTATTAAACAGTAACTTTTATTTTATGTGTATATACCTTTCAGTTTGCCCTAATTTTTGTTTGTTTCTTATATATATCATTATGCTACACCTGCCTGACTCCTTTAACATTTCAATGTGGGAGTTTTGATCTTGTGCTGTATTAGTCCTTGTCTCAGTTTTCTGTCACTGTCATAAAATACCACTCTTGAGACAATCAATGTCAAAAGAAGAAAGACTGATGAAGGCTCACAATCAAGGCTTGCTTACACCTGCTACTTTGGACTGTGGTCAGAGAACACAGCACAGTGAGCTGCTTACTGTATGGTGACTAGGACAAGCAAACAACCCAGCATAATACAAAGCATTCTAGGAGTCATGTTTAAAACAGGAATAAGCAAGCAGAGCCAAGCTGGGTGTGAAGACAATCTTACAAACTCAGCTACTTGGAAGGATGAGACAAGGGACTGCAAACATGAAGCTAACTTAAGAATTTCAGCAAGACCTTACAAATAAACAAATATTAGGCAGACAGACAGACAGAGGTTTTCAAACAGATGGAGTTATTACCACATAAGAATAAGACAAGATACCCGATTCCTATCATGACAAGGCCTAACAAGTAAAACTTCTTCGAGAAGCCCTCTGCCCCCCTTTTCTCCCATCTTAAACAGCAATCTCCCTTAGCCTATGTTCTACTCTGGCAGTTTAAATCCTACTTTTCTCAGCAGTGACAGTTATGATCAAAGTTAATTCCACCCTCTTTCTTGTGATGTGATTGCTCTCAGTAATCTGTGATGTCTCAGAACACTCTGTAACAGTCACATATTGCTTTTTAATGTAAAAAAAAATGTTCTCATATTTTTTGTCTAGCAAATTAAACATCTCTAGAAATCAGTTTCTCAAATAGTTATTAAACATATGGTTTGTGAGCTCTTGAAGCCAGTTTAGATTTACAGATCATACCATGTCAAACAATCTCATTAATTCACTCACTTAACTAGAATCACAAATATAGTCATCTGCATTTTTAGCTAAGCACGTGACTGTCTCTTGTGACAAACAGGAGATTATGAAAAGG